CAAGTGCGTTGCCGGCCTTTTAAGAAGGAACAAACTCTTTTCTTGAAGGTTTCGGATATACCCTTGCTGGAAGATAGTTCCACAATGTGGTACATAGATTTGTATTTATTGTATGATTGGTTGTATTTGTCTGGGTATTTTTTATGTATCATATGAAAATATGTTTAAGTACTATATAAGTTCTCTAGTACCTACAATATAAGTTTTAATTAACTTGGAACTAGATGGCGCTGTGTGATATGATGATGGCGCTATTTCGAGATATTATTAGTAATGATCCACTCGTTCCCAGTCAATAGTACTTTTCACGCTTTTCTGTATTTTTGGTCCCCCTCCGATCGATCTGCAGTCCAATCCAATTGGGGATCGAAATTATGACGTTCGAACCCCTGGATGTTGCCTCAGACTAAAGTATCTGTCAGGTAGGAGTTGGCCTTCTGTTCTACAAGACCTCTCGCGAGTTTGCAGTGCCGTTTGTACTCACGATAAGGGCCGAGTGCCGGTGCCGGCACGGTGAAGCTGGACGTCGATCGATACGCCATCCAATTAAAACGGGGATAAAATTACTACGCTCGAACCCCTAGCAGTGCCCTCAGGCTAAAGTCATATCCGTCCAGCAAGAGTTGGTTTTCAGAATTAGAATAGAAATAGAAATAGAAATAGTCTTTATTCAAATAAACTTAATATAAGCACTTTTGAATAGTCAAGTTTTTTGATTCTACCGCTTATTCGGAATGCAGACTCATCACAAGAAGAATAAGCAAGAAACTTGTGTGTTGCTCTTTTAAATAATATATAAGTCCTTCCACGAGTTTGGAGTACCATCTATACGGCCCTTATGCTTCGGTGAAGCTGTAGGCCAGCTGGATTTTTTTTTATATTAAAATATCAGAGCAGTGTCACCTGATGTTAAGTGATGATGTGGTCTAAGCTGTTACACGCAAGCTCAAATAATGTCTATTCACTCTTGACTTGAGAGACTCAATGTTGTAAGAGGCAGGAAAATAGACGTTGGTAGAGAGTTCCACTCCTTAGCTGCTCCAAGAGCCTTGCAGCGTAGTCCCAAACATATATCTTGTTTACATTAACAATGCTTTATATATCTCAGTGCGAAATCTCAAATGTAAATGGGACATAGCGCTAAATATTTACGTAGTAAGAGTAATAAACTAGTGTGCCGGCACAGTTGAGAGAAAGGGGTGTGCACTGACCGTATAACACACGATATATACATGCGTTTGACCTGTTCTTTTCAGGGAAACAATTAGAGGAAGACTTTGTATAAAGTGATTTACGCGGGTGCAGTATATTGACAATTATAACTCATATTCAACCTTAAAATAATAATAATGATAATCATCAATTCACACAACGCTAGACCGGCCGGAACTAACAGTCAAAGTTAATTTTATTTTTGTCTGTCTGTCTGTTTATTCCACATTTATATTCATATGCCTGTAGTAAAATATGGTTATTTTAGTATTACCAACAGACACTGTAATTTTATTTATATGTATAGATAACGAATTTATCTAGTGTTATCTAGTATTCATAACACAAGCTTTAGCTAGCTTAACTCGAGTATAGATGGCGCTGTGTGAATTGTCTTGAGATTATTATTATTATATTAGCAGACTCCGCGAACTTCATTCCGCCTCAAAATTAAATATGTCAGGTTTTTTGGAGTATAGTTACGTAATTAATTTCAGAACGCATCCTGTTTGATTTTTTTTTTCATGACTACTCTAATGCTGTTGGCCGCAGCTGGCCTTTACAGCTTCACCGAACGTTAGGGGGCGAGTGCAGATGGCACTCCAAACCCGCGGAAGGACTTCTGGAGCGGCTGAAGGCCAACTCCTGCCTGACAGATACGACTTCAGTCTGAGGGCACCACTAGGGGTTCGAACCTCATCTGTTTGATACGTATCAGCAGTTTGTATGGGAAAATTAAATTTATGTTTTTACTATTTCACATACAATTTCTTCATATTTTATCTCCGTTTAAACCTTCCCTGGACTACCACGAATATTTGAAGATTAAAATTAGCTAAATAGGTTTGACCGTTCTCGAGTTTTAGCGAGACTAACGAACAGCAATTCATTTATATATATATATGTATGTATATATAGATGTTAACTATAAGTCGCGTGCTCGGCGTTCCCCGTTCTATCGCTCCACGTGATTGCTTGAGTAATCACTATAACATTACTTGAACAATGCTATACGCATTTCCATCGATTGTAGTGGATTTCGTATAATAAAACACTTCCTCCGTTGTTACTAGAGCTGAGGGTATTGTGCAATGGACGTGTGCAGTCGTACAGAAAATTTAGTTACGCGTTTACTTGTATAATCATTGAGCTGTGGAGGAGATTGTTAGCAATGTGGACTGATGATTCCGTAGCTGGCAATGTACCATGTCAGGTTCACCATCGCGGTTCCACTTCCACCATCGTGATAAATTCCTGGTGATTTTGGTAATGGGCTAACTAACCTCAAAGGGTTCCAAGGAGTCTTTACGAGAGTGCTTTAAGGAATCAAATATCCTCACCGTTGCTTCTCAATACATTTATGAAAATATCATGTATGCCAGGAAGAATATAGACAATTTCAAAAAGGTTATTACACTAATAAAAGCTTATGCAACAATAAGAAACTGATTTTACCTAAATGTCGTTTAACTAAAGTTAGTAATTCGTTGCATGGCAATTGCGTATGGTTTTACAAAATACCAGTCTGTTATAAATCTGCCTGAAAAAAGATTTAAATGTCATATACAATAGTTACTTGCAAAAAAGCTTACTATAAAATTGAAGAATTCGTTAACGACAATAATTTTTTTATACAAAAACTTGAAATACATAGCACTGACAATATTATCTGATTACACTAATAAAGAGTGCGTAGCGATTACCGCACGCCTCTTACTTATTGTACGGTAATTATTATATAAAAAAAACATCAATTCAAAAGAGCAACACACAAGTTTCTTGCTCATTCTTCTTGTGATGAATCTGCATTCCGAATGAGTGATAGAATCAAAATATGACTATTCAAAAGTGCTTGGAATGAGTTTATTTGAATGAAGATTATTTTTATTTCTATTTCATCCTCTTGTGGACACTGGAGATCGCGTGGATCAAACTGACAGCAAATCGCAATGGGGTCATTGGTCCATATTACTAACAAGTCCTTTCCTCCAGAGATTGGAATTTATATCTTTTATCCCTAGATGATAATAGAAGCACTATGCACAACGCGCACGTGACACCCCTGGTGCTTCAGGCGTCCATAGGCTACGGTAACCATTTACCATCAGATGGGCCGTATGCTTGTTTGCCACCATAGTAGTATAAAAAAAAAAATTATGGCAAAACATCGTTTGGCGGGTTAGCTAATATTTTCATAATTGTCCCCGTCCGTTCCGCTACTAGTTGCTAGTATGTTCACAGGGAAGGGCGTTACATTACCTACTCATAACTATAGTAATTAAAATTAATAGCCACGTATTCTTCTCATACCTGCCTGTAGTATGTGGAACTGAGAAACTGTTTTTTAAATATCTACCAAGAACCAACACAACGCAATACTTACAGTCTATAAGTCTTTTAATATACGTAAAATTTAAAGTATCACGTGATTGATCACCAAATAGTAAATGACCGATACTGTAGTTTGGGCTTTAATTAGAAGATAAAATAAAACAAGACAGTTGCCTACCATCTGTCAAGAGCATTGTCTTTTTTCGTCAAGTGGAATTTTTAGAACACTAAAGAAAATGTGGTGAATGAACTGTGGTGAATACTTGCCAGTAAGAATGTATTATATTACTTATTAAGAATAGTTTGTATTTTTTCCTAATAAATGATAGTGGAATGGTTCTACCTACGCTAACGAATTATGCTAGTGAAGGATGATAGCATGAGAACAGGTCACGTTACTAATCGTGACAAATCTACCAGGAATTTATTATGATTTCTAGGGAGAATCGCTTGGAGGTGAACCTGTCATAGTACATAGCTATGAATAGCAATGGAGTTATCAGTCCACTTCACTAGTACTCTCCTTTCTACCCCTGACATGTTGTACCTACTAGCTATACCCGCGACTTTGTCTGCATGGAATATTGACCATTGTACTAGCTATACCTGGGACTTTGTTTATTGTTTTACAAATTTTGTTTGTCATTATTATTGATATTTAATCAACAGTCTAAAAATTAGTTTTTAAATTTCTAGCCTTAAAAATAACGATTTCCGTACAACCTTTCATCTCCCCTTTACAAACATCTTTTTATTAATATTTAATTAGCCATTTAAGAGCCTAAAAATATTCAAGCTTTAAAAATGACGATACAATCTTTCATCCCCCTTTCATCCCTTTACAACCTTCTTCGTATTAAAAAATAGCCTACGTTCTTCCTCAGAATCTAGACTACCTGTGTACCAAGTTTCTGTTAAATCGGTTTAGTAATTTTGGTGTCGACGCGCGACAGATTGAGATATTTATAATTTAACTAGCTTTTGCCCGCGGCTTCGCTCGCGTCAATTTATCCCCTTAGGGGTGGAATTTATCAAAATTTAATCCTTTCTTAGGGGATGACTTTGCATGCATAAATCTACTGTGACGTACAGTAGATTTATGCATGCAAAGTCGATCGATCGATTTAAAATTGACAAAGTTTCATCCCCTATTTCATCTCCTTGGGTGTAGTATTAATCAAAATCCTTTCTTAGCATATACCTGTATGCCAAATTTCATTCCGATCCGTCCGGGTGGTTAGGGCTGTGCGTTGATAGGTCACTATGTCAGTCACCTTTGAGTTATATATATATATATGTAGAAAGGACTATGAAATAGTATATTGTATTTTATCAAAATAAAGCTAAACGTTTTGGAGGCAATATGTTCGCACGTGCAGCATCCGTTGCGCGGGCGACTGCAGTAAAGTCCGCCGACGCATTCCCAGATCTTAAACAATCTCATTCCGCGCCGAACCTCCGCGCGCGACTGACGTGTCGCGTCGCTCGTAGAACCGCGCGCTTCGATTATAATTATCGTAAAACATTGTGTTTGTGCTTACATATCTTACTTATTGTGTGATGTGCAATGGGATTTGTGTACTAGTGATCGGCCCAGGGCTGTGTGTTGTTTCATTGGAAGTCCAGTATCAGGTAAGTCGCTTGTTTGTTATTTACGCGCCAAGTTTATAGTCCATTGTTGATGGTTTAACAGTAGCAGTTAGGTTTATTTTATTTGTGGTCCACACGCATTCTTCCTACCGTTGATATATTTACAACATTTTTGATGATTCCTTTATTGTGTATTGCAAAAGAAGTTATGTCTACCAATTCTCTAGAAAATCTAAAAATTTGTTATTATATGACGGCTGGAAGGAAGGTAATATTTCTAGATGAAAACAGCTTTAAGTAAAATTAGTTTCTATCTTTATGCTTACTAATAATATAAATGCGAAAATAAATATGTCTGTCTGTCTGAAATTAAGTTAGGTACATAACATAGATAGTTTAAACCCCAGGAAAGGATATAGGCTACATTCTAATACGAAAAAAGGGTTGTAAGAGGTAGAAATTGGAGATTAAAGGTTGTATGAAAGTATCGTCATTGTTATAGCTTGAAATTTATTTTTTAGGCTTATTAAATATGATTAAATATGACATTCAAAGTTTGTAAAAATTTTACCCTTCAGAAGGTAAAATAAAATAAGGGTAAAAGTTTGTATGGACATTCGTCGTTTTTGAAGCTAGAACTATAAAACTTTTTCTTCTGCTTTTTTGGGTTAGAGTATCAAATATTTTTCTTTATTTGGTCAAGGTCAAGATTCTACATCGGCACATCTAGTAGTACTAGTATTGTCGGCACTTACGGCAACAGTATCCACCATCACACATTTATATTCACAATGTATCCGATATGATTAAACCAGTATTCAATTAGTCATATTTTACGCTGACATTCCTCATTAGATAAGTATGCTGTATTTATATATTTTGTAGGCATCCAACCATGAAACGATTATTTGAAATTCTCACGAAAACTGGTTTCACGCCAATAGACGCATCCATGTTAGGTATTTAAGTATTTAAAAGTATATTATACAGTCTAAATTCTGTTCCTAAAGAACAGGCCCAGTAGGAATCAATGTTATCGTGAACATATGAGACAATTTAGGTAAAGAAATAATTATTAATAAGTATATTATAAATATTTAGTTCAAAAATTGAAATTAGATTTTTACTAAAAACAATTCATTTTATACTTTAATTCACTAACTAAACATTGATTTAATTTTTCTGTCTTATTTATACACATAAATAAATAAAATTGGAGTGTCTCTTTGTAATATTGAAATAACCGATTTTTACTAGGTACATGCATATGAATATAAATACGGTACATGCACCAAAATAATTTTTTTTACTATTTTTGCCTGTCTGTCTGTTTGTTCCGGCTAATCTAGGAAATTGTTGGGCCCAATTTGACGAAACTTTTTTTGGCAGGTAGCTATTGTAAAAAGGAGTAACGTAGGCTGCTATTGTTTTAGAAAAATAAAATTCCACAGAGAGACGAGAGGTCGAAAATACAACCTAGTTATTAATAAATCTTCACCAGACCTACTGAGTGGACAGAATGAACCGGGTCCTGATAGCATTTCGGTTACTACAGGACGGGCCTAGACTAGTGCTGAACTCAATATTAATGTACACATGTGAAACCATTTGCTAAATAAATAATAATTATTATTAAATCTTTGTGGGAGGCCTATGTCCAGCAGTGGACGTCTTCCGGGCTGAGATGATGATAATGATGATTATTGAATCTTCACCAGTCCTACTGAGTGGATAGAACAACCGAACAACAGCATTTATTCCTTACAAGCCATGCTTTGTCTTTCATAGTGGGTCTTCCTGTAGATTTCCTATACAACGGAAAACAAATAAAGACATGTATGAATTTGCTAGACTAATGGGAATATCGGGTTCTATCCGAAGAAGGCGATGGCAAAAGGCTAGAGATCTAAATAAGCTGAAAAAAAGAGTACATACAAATGAAAATTTATTGTAAACAATAAGAAGAAACTGAAATAAGTCATTGAATTAGGAAAGACATAGATCATGTTGCATAAAATCATCTCTCAGACGTCGTACCCAACAAAGAAAGCAACAGAGAATACTGATCATTAAAGTTACTATAAAAAGCTTTGGAATATATGTTTCAATAAACAATAATAAATATAAAATTATAATGTAAGGATGGAGTCTATGGAAACTAAAGATTTTTCAAAATACCGATGTAATAACACATGCAGGTCAAAATTAAATGGTAATCTAGTGACGTTGTTCGATACCAAGTCAGTAATAAATGATAAAGTAGTCAAGTCAATAGACAGTAAGTCAGTAATAAATGATAAAGTAGTCAAGTCACTGAACACCAAGTCAGTAATAAATGATAAACTAGTCAAGTCAATCAACAGTAAGTCAGTAATGAATGATAATCAAGTCAAATCAATGAACAGTAAGTCAGTAATAAATGATAAACTAATCAAGTCAATCAAGAGCAAGTCAGTAAATCTAGTCTGTTTTATATGATCATTTCGCATTGAATTGTATAATTTGATTGGTCATCATTCAATTTTTTCTCGCTCTATTAAAAATCACTTTCACGATTATATTAAATGCTATTATCATTTTCTAAAGTGAACATCAAATGAGCCGTGAATGAATCACCGCTTGTTATATACATGATAAAATTGGAACACCTTTTTCTTATGAGTCAGTTAAGGTTTTATCGTAAATGTATGTGACCTCAAAATTGGATTTGTACGTTTTTCAATAATGCAACAAGATTAACAAGATTTAATTTTTGTAATAGTTAAACATATTGAAAGCTATTTCATTAGTAGGTAAGTAGACTGCAATTTACGTGGGCAATTAGATGAATTTTAGTTTAGCTGTAGTATACATTTTTACTAATAATATAAATGTGAAACTAACTCTATCTGCTTGCCTATTGCCTTGCCGCGGTTTCACGCCAAAACTACTGAACCGATTAAGTAAATGAAATTTGGTGCACAGCTAGGCTAGACCCTGAGAAAGGACATAGCTACTTTTTAATACGAAAAAAGGGTTGTAAGGGGTTCAAATTTGAGATGAAAGGTTGTATGGAAGCATCGTCATTTTTAAACTTAGAAGCTTGAAACTTATTTTTTTTGGCTGTTGATTAAATGTAACTAAATATGGTATTCGGAGTTTGTAATAAAATTACCGTTGAAAAGTAAGTATTGTAAATGCGAAAGTGACTCAGTTCGTCTGTCTTTCAAACATACATATTTTAATGTTTTGGCATAAGATGAGAAAACACAAAATTATTATATATAACCATATAATAACTCAATACATAAATATTTCATTTTACCAATATTATTTTTTTTATAATATTGCAAGTAATTTATTAAAGTAATTATACATATGTGTCTTATTTTTAAAACAATTAGCCTAAAAATTAAAAAAAGCTCCTCCAGCAAGGTGGAACAACGATCTGGTCAAGATCGCTGGAAGGCATTGGATACGAGCAGCGCAGGACCGATCGTCGTGGAGATCTTAGGGGGGGGGCTATGTCCAGCAGTGGACGTCTTCCGGGCTGCGATGATGATGATGATGGAATATAACAGACTTTAATGGGCGTCGTACGCTTCAAAATTGTTTACGAGGTGATCATTTAAACACAATAACTATAAACACTATACAATCGGATTGAGATAATACGCACGTAAAGGCGTCAAGTTCGAATACCGAGAATCGGAAGGTCGGGGAATGCATAATGTATCCCTTGGCACGTCGCTTATCTTTTTTGTTCACACATCAGTAGCTTTAGAGATGATAAAAAAAGAAACAACATCTCGTTGGTAAATATTGAAACGTCAAATTGAGGTAACACAATGTTATTATTCTAACATCATGAATGTTAAGTCTTTCACGCCTAACGGTTTAAACAATCATAATGTAATTAGCGTAATGTCATGAAATATAATATTTCTGGACAATCAGCGCCATCTAGTCCCAAGTCAAGCAGAACTTTTGTTGTTGTATTAGATAACTGACACAAATACATAGATACATTATTTAAAAAAGATACAAACAATTATACTCATGAATACAAATGTTGCAAACATATCACCAACCACCAAATCCGTGTACATCGGAAGTAAAGCGGCGTGCTAAACCACTAGAGTACTACTACTAGTAATGTTAATAATATTAATAAAGAAACTGATGGTGTAAATAAAAACACAGACAGAAAGTAGTAGTATTATTGTAAAGCAAGGAAGTAGGAAGATATTACAATAGCTAATAAATTTTCTTTCCGCTACATATTCGTTAAAGTAGTCAATAGTCATAAAAATGCTGTCTATTAAAATATGTCAAGTACTTACTTTGTTACTAATATATGTACTAGCTGCGCCCGTAGTTTCACCCGTATGAAATTTATAGCCTATGTGTTACGTATAAGCCATATTACTGTAAGGTTTCATCAAAATTCAGTAGCTCTTTTAAACTTTCGGGTTTATAATATTAGTAAGATAAGAAACTATTAATATTGAATGATGAATGTATTTAGAAATAAATTCCTAATTTCGTTAAAGATGATTATTTGGTGCAAACACAATTTGCACAACAATTCGAATTCAATCATGATAAAATTAAAAACGAATCGCCAAAATCGATTCAGGAATGGCGACGATATTACTATAAAATTACAGTCGAAAATATTTCAGAACTAACAAAACTAACAAAACTTTAAAATTGCGATTATAAATGAAAATTAATTTGGACCAGACATCCTAATATTATAAGCGCAAAAGTGAGTATGGATGCATATTTGTTACTCTTTTACGCAAAAACTACTAAACGGATTTTGGTGAAACTTTACACTAATATACTTCAGCCTAAAAATTTCATCCTCGGGAGAAACCGCGGGTACAGCTAGTGTTACTATAAAATTACAGTCGAAAATATTTCAGAATCAACAAAACCAACATACGAAATTGCTACGAGAAAAGAAACTTTGAAATGCGAGTTTAAAAATCAGAATTAATTTGGACTAGACATAACAAATGCTTAGAAGAATAAACAAAATTAAACTTTTAATGGCA